TTCTTGGGTTCCAACTGCTGTTGAGTTGGAGCCTGCACATCTTACCCGTGCATGATGTGTTCCACTAAGATGGATTCTGAGTAAAGGCATGAAATGTATTCCTGAATGTACTTATTTTGTTTAGACTGAAAATAAATGCACAACTTCTATGTCCTGTTTTCTATCTTGAAAATAAAAAGTATCCAGGACAGACACAATGTACTCCCCAGAGTTCAAATTTATACCAGTCAGAACAAGCACAGCAGTCATCACCTTCAGAAAGGCTCATTAAAGGAGTCACTTCCCCCCACAGGACTTGTCAATCTGATTTCACAGACAAGGAAAGTAATTATTAGAATATTTATGTTCATTTTATTTTCCCACCACAAACTAAACCCTGGAGTCACAGTCATTCAAAACATATTGTGTGATCTGGCAGCACTCCAATCCCCGCTGACTTCCCTCTGTAATTAGTACCTTTTACTACATTGCATCCCCTCAGTCTTTGAACCTTGAGCCTCCGTGAAACCTCAGGTGCTCATTTTTAATGGGTAGAGTGACGAAGAAAATTATATTCCTGACAGGAGTTATGAAGAAAGACATCAGCACCTTGTGGAAGTGCAAGCCCTACATTTGCTGGTGGCTCGAGGAGGTCGAGTGGATCTACTTGTTCTGCTTATTGCTCTGTATAAAATACAGCAGAACTCTATGCAGCAGCTTTATCCAGGTAGTTTTCTGTAATAACCATTTATTAGAGCCTGCCATGTAACAGCATGCACAGAAGAACTATAGCCTAAACATTTGGCCTGAAGCGAAAACCTGATGTGTGTTGTTGTTAGAATTACCTGTATAGTGCACTATTAACAAGGGCTGTTAAGTGAGATGCTCTTAAGTTCCTCTGATTCCAGCAAGAAATAACTTCCTCTAATAAAACAGACAAGAAGAACAGCAGTCTTTCTGAGTCAGGTCAGCCAGGTGTGCAGTTTACAGAAAAGATTTCACTCTGCAAGTGATATCACAGCTTACTTGAGTTTATTGAGAATTGCTGGGCTTTGTCTACAGCCCTCCAACAGCTCCACTCTCAAATAAATGTGGGGAGGCAGTGCCAGGAGACCTAACCTGTTTGTTAGGAGAAAACTCCAGTTATTCACAGGTTAGCAGCACTACAAACCAATCCCAGCTACCCCAAAAATCATCTGAGAATGTGCCAATACCAGAGCAATATGAAGAATGGATCTGCAAGTGACATCGCAGGCATGAATGGAATATTAGAGCTTAAAAAGGCAAAAAAGGTCTCTGTAAAAACTTGTCCATAGCTTCCAGGAGACTGCTCTTGAGTTCCAAGGAAAGCAGTGTAAGAAGACTCACCTTTATCCACCGTGTTCTTCCTGACTGCCAGACACCCACAGGATCTCAGATGCTTCCAACCTAAACACTGGAAGGACAGCAGCACATGAGAGAGAAAAAGAGGGAACAGAAACACATAAAGTAAGGAACATAAAAGTAAGGAACAACTACAGAAAAAGGAAGCTAAGAAAATCAAATAATAAAATGAAAACTGAACTCATTTGCTGAATTTTTTTTTCCCCACCGAGGCAGCCAGGCCACCCTGTTAAACCAGTTAGCCTGAAGGAATGACCAGTTCCTGCTGGGCATCTCTCAGGGCTCTAAAAGGGTTAAGAAATAAAGCTGCTCTTGCCACTCAGCTGAGTGGTGAGCATGTCCCAGAAATACCATGAACTGGACACGTTTCAGGCTAGCCAGTCAAAATGATAAACTCTCCATCTAAAAGCCATGTACAGCTGAAGCAGCACATCCATCTTTCCTTCATTCTGCAGACACATGATCGACAAAGCTGAAGTTTTATGTGCTGAGATTCTGCACTCAGCAAAGGCAATGGCACAATTCCCATCACAGCCACAGTTTCTTGTCATCAAGTACTCACCTACAGACTGAACCATTTCAGCCATGGAGTATGTGGAAACACTGCATATGTTCAGACTTCTCTGCAAATTAATCATCTGGGTTCACAAAGGTGAACCACAAATCATGATTCTCCTCAATCAGGAATCTAGCAAGCAAAAATCATAAATAATCAAGCTTACCAGAATTCAGAAACCTGATCCCAAAATAAGCAGAAAATGAGAACTCACATCCAAAATACACTGTCTAAAATTGCTAATGCCAGGATCACAAAGCTTTGAGACTCCAAATCCCCCTTCCTTGTTTCTGCATCTGTTTACTCAGTTGTATTGTACCATGGGTTGTGCTCTGCTAAGAATTTCCCCCATGAGCACTGATCTGTGTAGGAGTTATGCCCCATCATAACACCATCAGCATGAGAACCACAATGGACTAGTACACAACCAACACAGCTGGAAGGAAAATTCTGTTCTAGCTGCTGGACATAGGAAAAATCCCCATGTACTCCTTAGCCAGCAGAATAGGTGGTCCTTAGTGCTCCCATGTGTGATCTCCTCAGGTGATGGCCCCACAGAAATTGGAAGTTTAAGAACTGCTGGATGGCACAGTGCCTTCATCTTGGGCTGGGTTATGGTCACAGGATGAGATCCCTATATCCTAAACCAGCTTATCTTTAAAAGAGCTACATGAAAGGCAACAAACATAATCTGAAAAGAATTGTGAGAAGTATTTGACTCATTGCTGCCAATGAACTTGGAAAGTTAAAGTTGAAAACATAATTTCCTACAAATCCAAAATGAGTTGAACAGAATTCTAGACCCAATGGAGTTTAATGATGTCTCATTCTTTTAAATTAGCCTTCCAATTTGGGAAGAGAGAAGATGGTAATCTGCAGAGTAATGAAAGTAAAACATAACTTAAAGAAACAGAAAGGGTATAAAATGATGAGACAAAAAATTCAGGGAAGGGAACATTTTGCCAAATGAGAAGGTCCACAGAGGATTTCCAGAGCCTCTCTCCTCCTTGTATTGAAAAAGTGATGGAAGAAACCATTATGCATTTGTCCCTGGGGCAAGTACTTCCTTTTTGTTGTCATTGCTTTATCTGAAAGACCTCTACCATCTGTAGGAAACTTTCAGAGAGAAACTTCACCCACGTACTTCCATGTGTATAGCCTGTGTATAGCACCCACCGTGGTTTGTGCAGAGCCACCACAAAGCCCTTGGCTCCTCAATGCTGGCAGATCAGAGCTGGCCACACTGGGGAGCACAACACCCACACACAGCTGAGAAAAACGGAGCCCTGACCAGTGCAAAGCAAGGTATAGAAGGGACTGACAGTATTCTCAAGAAAACACCAGAATATATCAATTTTCTTATACTGCACACGTGCATTTATTACCCATTGCAGCCACTTGAGGATCTTAATGTTCGAGATGATTACACAAGCCATCAATCAGTGTAAGCAAACTCTGGCAATATTGATGTTTCATTGGCAGGTGAAGCATTGAACCTCCAAGATGATAAGTCTTCACCACCGCCTGCGGACACGTGAGCACTGAGAGAGGAGGAGATTGGCTTTGCAAGCATCTTGACAGAACCAGGCTGCCGCCAGCCTGTCTGTGTCCCTGACAATACTGCTGTCCCTAGGAGCTTTGGCAGTAGGTTTAACCTCTGTATTCAATATTTGGGATCAAATTTAGTGCAGTAAAATGTCCAAATTGCAAACCTTAGTGTTCTCCTTACAGACAGAAACTGTCTGCACCAGAGCCTCAGCCTGCTCTAGACATGTTGCTTCCATAACAGCAAAATCAGAGTCTATCAGCAAAGTCTCTCTAGACAGGGAGGCTCAATCTATAACCCAAATCTGAGCAGGTAGATTATTTTTGTCATTTCAGCTTTTTATCAGTCTCACTCCTACGTGCTTGAAATACTCAAATGATAAATGGACAAGTATTAATTTTCTCTGGAGACAGATGCACACACCTGGGTACAAATGCACACTCACACAGCATCATCACAGACAAACAAACCTCACATCTGGATTAAGTGTGTAAGTGTGGTGGCAGTTTGTGCCTGGTGGGTTTTTAAACAGCACAAAAGCAAATTCCGTCTTATGCTGCCACAAGTGTTCTTTACGATGCTGTTCTGTAGCTGTTAAGAAACAACAAACTAAGAGACTATTTCATATTTTCTTTTAAAACAAGTCGAACATAAAATGAGTATTTCTTCCAGAAGAGCTCTCTGAGTTTTAACTAATCCACTACAGTAAAACAGAGAGTAAAGTTCTGTGGGAGCCTTTTGTATATGGCAGAGTTTCTCCAGAGCCCGGGAGTGGCAGGAGAGCACATCTGGAAGATGCAAGAACAAAACAGGATATTTAGAATAAATGTTCTTGCTGACAGGCCCTCTGCACACACCAATGCAGCTCCACAGCACTTGCTTGCTGTATTTACTTGAAAAATTGAAAGAAATGGAATTTAAAGGAGATTCCATACACTAATGCTCTAGAGTGGTTTTGCAGAGAATTTGCTCAGGGCAATATCCCTGAGCCCTGTATTCCACACATATACAGGAAACATTCACTGCCATATCTAAGAATTTTACAGCAGTATTTAGGTACCATAACTGTAAGTTCTTCTGTGGACTGTGGTCACCTCCAGCTCTCATGCTCACAGACTCTCCTCTAGATCTGATATTTTAGAATCAAACTTTCGTCATGGTAATACGAATGAAGCACATAACACAGTGTGCTGGAGAAGAGATGTGAGCTCTGGCTACACACAGGACCTTCTGCTTCTCATTCCTCATTTAAATCAACAGGAAGGGAAACTTATTTTCTAGTAGGTTTGTTCTTGTAAGATGACTCTTGCAAGTCTGTTCCCCTGAGTTTGTGGGAAAGAGACTCTCACCCGTGGAGATGGTAGACAATAAAAGATTAAATCCCAAATGACAGCTGCTTTCCGTATGTCACACTGCCTGGTGCTGGCAGTGTGGGTCTCCAGGGATAAGCCAATCCTCCTCACAAAACAGTTGGAAGGTCAGGACTAGGTCTTCTGTCCAAACTGCTGCAGGCAAACTTTGCCAGCTTCTTCACTCCCATTGAGAGCTCCACATAAATTCTACTGAGGTGACTCACTGGACTGACCCTGCTCCTCCCACAGTGTGTTACCTTGATTCTGAATTTTATATATAGGTTTTAAATGTTTTATATATAGTTCTTTATATATCTATCTATCTTTATATATATATATATATATCTTTATATATAGTTCAAGACAACTTTGCTTGAACAGTGGGTAATGGCATTTCCATCCTGCCATTTCAGTCACCCATTACTAAAATGAAGACAAGGTTCTGATCTGTGACCCTCAGACAATCTCCCACACAAGATTTTTAAAACAACGTGGCCTAAGATGTTGTCTTATTTTGGCAGGCATGTAATAGTACCATCAAAACCATCCTGTCCCTAACAGTTCAAGCCCTGGGAGGTCCAGCAATAGGCAGCACTTGTTACTTTGCTGTCCTTTCTGGTCTAACTCTGACCCCAGTCCTAGAGAAACCTGAGTGATGCTGAACAGAGCCAAGCTTAAACAGAAACTATTGCAGATTCATCAACTCTTTGAACTTGCAAGGAGCCTTGAGAGATCTACAAACTCCTGCTTTCAGATCAGACCTGATTTCAGACCTCAGTGCAGTACCCAGACAGGAGCTGAAGACCTCCAAGTCCAGTGATGTCTTTGGTGTGCTGTGGGCTTCTGTTCTTCTGATTAATTATCCTCTAAATGAAAAACATTTTTCTTTATTTCTGGTTCTTTGCCTCAATTTATATGCACTATCTGTTATTCTTCTGCTGTGCATCTCAGTAAAGAGCCTGGCTCTCCTTCACTTGTGCCAGAAGCCAGATATTAAGTCCCCTCTAAGCAAGTCCAGTTCCCTTGGCTGCCTCTTCTAGTTTTCTCCCCATCTCATTCATCCTTCAGTGGCCTTGCTCCAGTTCATCAGCATCTCCCTTGTACGACCTTCATCCAAAGCTGATGGATGAAAACTTTTAATCCAGAAAACTAAAACTGCAAGAACATACAGAAGCCAGGAAAAATGTAACCAATCCAAACCTTAAATATCATGTACTACAGCTACTGAACTCAAGTATCATTTAACCAATATATCCCACAGCCAGAGTGCTCACAACTGGTGTAAATGGTCCTACTCTTTCCTGGTGTTACACAGTCATGCACCTCACCTCTGTCTGAAAATGCAGCCCTGTTCATTCTGCTGATGAATCTGCTATGGAGGTGCTTTTGTGCTCCAGCAGATCCCTGAGAAAAGCACAGAAGGAATTACTGATGAAGAAGCAGGCATTTGACTGCCTCCCAGAGAGAGTGGTATCACAAGCACTGAGATGCACTCAGCTACTTCCAGCTACATGGGATGAAGACACCAATGACAAAACTTCATCCTAAATATGTTAGGAGGTTATGAGTTACTTAAGATTCATCTCTATCCCCCCACTACCAGGGGCAGTTATCTAGAAACTAATCCATTGTTCCAGGTCAGGAATCTCAGCTGGTACTAGATTAAGTTGCAGGTGGAGAGAAGTAGTGAATGAGAGCATTTTTCTTGTATCTTACAAAAATCACTATCTTTCTTCAAAACAGGATATGTCATCACTCCAGCAACTGACAGACCTGAATTACAGTGGATCCAATTATTTAAATTTCATGTCACTTTTCTTCAGGAGCTCTGCAGAGTCCACTGGCAGATACAGGTTTGCTTTATGCCCAGCAAAGTACTGGTTGTTCTTGAATACTGGGTCACCTTATGAATAGCAATCATAGTCTGTGGTTTATAATCTGAACATTTTAGCAGTGATAATTTTAGATATTAGCAACTTTGTCAGAAAGAAACAAAGTAGCTGAGAAAGCCTCGGTCTCCCCAGTCCCATCAGCTCAAGTGGAGAACTGCTTGCTGGCAGGGGTTTGATCTGGTCCTAGTTTAGCAAGCATCATGTTTTAGAGTAGTAATCATTCACCTCTTGCTTGCTGTGAAGTGGGAAGTGAAGTTAGCATCATTCTCTTAACAATATGGAAGATTAAGGAGTCCTTTTCCAAATCACTGCGATAAAACACGATTGGCAGGCAGGGTGAGGATGAGAATTACAAAAAATACATGGCACAAGAAGCAGGCTGAAGGAGCAAACTGCAGTGTTGAAGCAAGGCATGGGACTTGGCCTTGTGTTTGCCTTGGGGGAACTGTAGGAACTGTCTCCTGAGGCAGTGGGGAGCAGTTGGGTGACAGGTAAGCTCTGCAGAAACCAAACCTGAGCTACAGCTGCTCTGCCCAGAGGGGCTGGGGAGGGGGAGTGCAATTCCACCCCTTTTCACACACCAAACAGCTCCTCCTCAGTGCTGTAGTTAAACAGCACTGAGAGATCATCTTAAACAGCACTGCCATCATCTCCTCTATCCACCCACTCTGTTCTCCTTAGGGAGGGCTCTGGCTTTCCTGCATCCCCCATGCAGACCTGGAACTCAGGGGACCTTCCCCTCACACTGGGCCTCACACTGGGGACATTCAGGTGGCAGGTTCCCCCCTGGGTACCCCCCATGGCAGACAGGCTTCGAAGTCCTTGTGACAGAGGCTGGAAACTGGGCACCATCCCTGGCTTCCAGATGGTAATAACAGGAATTACAAAGTTCACTTTTCCATTAATAGATTGAACATCAGAGAAGTGCTCGGGTGAGGTCTGTCTTATCTGCTCTAACAGAGCACACAGTGTGTGATGCTCTCAGACATGGGTGCAGCCTGAGCCAAACACAGGTGACAAGGCAAAACCAGAGCACAGAGATCATTCAGCCTGTGCCACACCTCAACTGGAGTTTCATTTGGGTGGGAGGTTCTTTTAAAAATGAAAAAAAAATATTTTCTTAAAAAAGTAGACTTTTTTCTTAAAAAAGGATAGTTTTTTCCTTAAAAAAAAAAAGCCAGTGGTTATATAACACAGTGTGTATGAATGTGCTCTTGTGATTTATGTTTTTACTTTGTCTCAAACCCCAGGTTTTTACCTGGTGTAGTAGAAGCCCCTTCTGCCTCAGGCAGAAGTCCCTCTAACCCAAAGCAGTGAGTTACCCTCAGAGCCACAGAAAGCAGGATCACTTGGCAGAGTACCAGTCAAAGAGCTACAGATGCTCCAATTACTCCCAGGAGTCCAGTCCTTAAATCAGTCATAGAATCATTGAGGTTGGAAAAGACCTCTAAGATCACCAAGTCCAACCATCAACCCAGCACCACCATGGTCACCACTAAACCATGCCCTCTAGTGTCACATCCACATGCTTTTAGAACACTTCCAGGGATGGTGATTCCACCACTGCCCTGGGCAGCCTGTTGTGGGCAACCTTCTCAGTGAAGAAATTCTCCCTGATATCCAACCTGACCCTCCTCTGGCACAGTTTGAGGCTGTTTCCTCTCATCCTGTCCCTTGTTCCCTGGGAGCAGAGCCTGACCCCCCCCAGCTCCTCCCCTCCTGTCAGGGAGTTGTGCAGAGTGAGAAGGTCCCCCCTGAGCCTCCTTTTTTTTCAGGTTGAGCCCCCTCAGCTCCCTCAGCTGCTCCTCATCAGACTTGTGCTCCACACCCTTCCCCAGCTCCATTCCCTTCTCTGGACACACTCCAGCTCCTCAAGGTCTTTCTTGTCATGGAGGGCCCCAAAACTGACCCCAGCATTCGAGGTGTGACCCCACCAGTGCCCAGCACAGGGGACAGTCACTGCCTGGTCCTGCTGCCACACCAGTGCTGGTACAAATACCATGATAATACCAGGGAAACGGCAGAGACAAAGACTATTGTCATGCCATTTGTCCCCATTTGGCTTCTCATTTGCTATCTTGTCTGTGTAGAACACAAACCCTCCCAGGCACAGGCACCTTGTTCCCACACAGTGTGTAACAGAATGGGACCCTCACTCACACCTAGGGATGTTTCCCTGTTATATTTGCATTATACAACACACCCTCTTGGGACCCGGGAACTAATAAAAGAGCAAAACCACCTCGGGATGCATTTTTAACCCATTCTGCATTTTACAAATCCCTCGCCTCCTTGGGGTTGGAGGACATGAGGGAGTTCAGATAAGAAAGGGAACCTTTCAGGTTCCCTTCTCTCCCAACAGACAATTACAATTTAACTTCCTTTTGTTTTCTGGATGGCTTCTTCTGCTGGGCATGGTGGTGATTTATACCAGGCATTAGAGCACCCTGCTCAGGAACTTCATAATCTTTCAAAAGCACTTCAGTTTATCAGCTCTATCTGGTGGTCTGTGTGTTTGTCAATGTATTTACATTTATTTATATATCCATATGTCTATCTATATACATAATATACACATGCTGGATACATATTGTATATATTCTATATAATATGAATGCACAAACACACAGGACACCAGACACATAGTGTATATATATTTATACATGCATTTTGTTCCCCAGTAATACAATACTTTCGGTGCACAACGAAATAATCATTTCAGTTAATGTGGGCAAATGAGTGGGCAGTGGACAACATCAATAAAATGTATTAAATATTTCACTAAGGCAGAGATCATTCAGGACAGTGTTTGAGATGTATCCAGTGGGTTCCACAGAAGCACTCAAGGGTTGTTATGAGGCCTAAATATTTGCTGCAGGATGCAGTTCTAGGGTTCATGTTTGAATGCCAGAAAGATTTATTGATTATAGATTTACATTTTTTCCCTTTTTTTAAAAAGTTTTTAGTTTCAAGTTTTTTTGGCTGTTGTTATCAGTCAGTGTCTCATTCCTGTAACAGTCTGACCCTGAAGCACTCACAGCACAGATGAGATGATGGGGATAACAGCTCTGAATACGGGGACAGACAGGTTTGGGTTTTTACCATTCCAAAGCCTTCCTTCTCTAGTCAAGGGTGAGAATTTTGGCTTAGCTCTACAAATTCATTTGGATGCCTTATTCCTATTTGAGTATCTACCATTTATCACACAGGAGCTACATATGTAAATACCTTCACAAATCCGAGATAGCTTTGCACCCCTCCATCTGTGAAACAAGGGAATCATACTTCTGGTTAATTTTTTATGAGCTTGATTTTCCTGGAAAAGTAATTCTGTAGAGTTAATACAGTGCTTTGCTAGTGAAACAGAAACAAAGGCAAAAGCAAAAGTTTATCCAAACACCGTTCTCCTGGTCAGCTTCCTCCACCCCCTCCAGGTTTAGCATCACTTGGCCCCAATCTATCCCAGCCACCCCAGAAAGAGCATATTTTATGGAGGAATCCACTTGGAGTGTGCCACAGGGACACTTGGGAAACGAAGATGGTCCTTTCATTAAAGGAATGAAGTCAGCATTCAGGAGTTACAGCACGCTGAATTCCCATGTGACCCCTCTCTTAGGGTAAGCTGTACTCCTGAATCCCAATCCTACTTTCAGGAGGATTAACATGGATTAAAAACTGGCAGACTGACAGCACTCAAAGGCAGCTCAACTTGGGATTCATTAGTGGCACTGTAACTATTCCCAGTGCATCCCCTGCAACTGGGGGCTCATCGGTGGCACATCACTGTTCCCAGTGCATCCCTGTTGGAGTGGGCTCAGAACCATTTAATATTTTTACTGATGACAAAATACAAAATCATCACGGTTAGAGTTTTCTAATGGCATAAAGGTGGAAGAAAATGGGTAGCTGGTGCAGAGAAATCCGGTTCAGTTGTTAAGTTGGATGCAACGACGTGGAAAATGTGGCGTGTCAGCTCTGTGACCAAAGGGCATGGCAGGAGGGGATGTCAGGGAGCTGTGGCTGAAGGCAGCTGGAGTGTCCAAACAGAGAAACCCCTGACCTTGTTCTCTTGCTGGGAAACAGCTGGAAAATCCCATTATTTCAGTAGCTGGCAGAAGTCTGCCAGCTCCTGAAGCACTGTCCTAGTGCAAGATGAGAGGCAGAACACTGGTTTGGGAAGGACTTGGGAAGTGTGGTAGAATCACCAGAGAAAAATAAATGTCATAGATTTGCTGGAGGGGAGAGTGAGGGGAGAGGAAGGGGGTTACTTCATGGATGGTTATAAATAACAAAGGACAGGGACAAAACATTATTTGTCTCTTTGCTCTGATGAGCTACATAGGAGCTGGCCCAGCAGAGCCCACGCAAAGGGGTGAGACAAAACCTGCACCCATGTGGGGACCATCAGTGAGGATCAGCCAATTCTGGCTGTGAATCTGCAGCCCCATGAGGAGGAGGGAATGCTTTCCTAAAGGAAATTAGCTAAGGGAAGTCTAGCCTTGTCTGTGCCTGC